CATCTGGATTGTATGTTTGTCACAAGTTCATAAGTGCCCCTTATGATATCTGATAATAGCCCTTTTTATTGTTTACCTTGACACGCGTCCCCTCTAATAAGTGCCCTTTTACTTTTTGATATGTGCCACTTTCCCCTTTTTAATAAGAGCCCCTTTCCTTTCTCATAAATTCCTCTTTGACACATGCCTCCTTTTCCTTTCTTGTAAGTACCCTTTCCCTCCTAATGGGTGCCCCTTTTCCCTTTTTTATACGGCCCCTCTCCTTTTCATAAATACCCCTTTTCATCTTTGATAAATGCCCCTATTAAAATCTTATAGGTTCCCCTTTTCCTGCGACAAATGCCCATTTTTCATTATCATTAGTGCCCCTTTTAAAAATCTCTGTTGAGTGCCCCTTTTCAGGTGCGAGAAATGCCCCGTTTTCACCACTGATTACTGCCCCTTTTACTTAGACACATATTCCTTTTCTTTTCAAATAAATGTCCTTTTTCCATCTGAGTGCTCCATTTTCATTTATCCATAACATGTGCCCCTATTCTTTAAGCGACTAAGAGCAACTCTTTTTCTTTACCCCCCCCCCCCCAAGCTTGTGTCTACGCTAGATCGCATTTATAGTTGATATAAGTGTGTTATATAGTTTTCAGTCTTTCATCATCGTGATTAAAATCCCAAGCTGTAATTTTTCGCACAGCGACCTCACTTATCTTGAAACTTTTGCTTCCATGTCATGTAAGTGAATATTCAGATTGTGCATAGTAACATGATGCTTAAACAGTAGCTAATTGGACCATGCATGTTCAGTTAAAAGAGTCTGAGAAACAAATATTGAAATCATCCCTCATTATTGTGACCACAATGTAAACAATTTTATATTTTTGCTTTGAGATTTCCCTTTGTATGTGCCCTCCCCCCCCCAGAAAGTGTCTTTTTTTTGTCCCCCCCCCTGAATATATTGATTAGTTAGTTAATTCGGCGAGACATTGCTGCGGCCAGCTGGTTAGTTCGAGTGAACAGCAAACACTAGATGTATTATGCCAAGGCGCTGTGCGCATCGACTAATTTTTCAGGAACTTAGGCACCGTGTTACACTTTAAGACCATGTTACACTTTAAGACCTCAACATTCGTCACTCCAGGATCAGACCAGTCTGTTCATGTATTTGTCTAGGAGGTACTAAATAACATATTTCAACCGATCCTTAATAATCAGTTACGCTCAGCTTAATGCGAGGAAATCTTCTGTTCAAAGCAAGTGATCACTTTACAGAAGGACATTTATCACATTCAGTGAATACAATAAGCAAGAATAGGTTTGTTAATTACTAGTGAAAATGTTTTACTTTGGTGTGTGATCTGGAGAAGACCGATTCGGAGTTCATTTCGTCTTATGTTGCTTTTTAAAAAAATGTTCATGAAACACTCCTAATGATAATAATAGTACTAATGATAACAATACTACTACTTGTTATAATAAAAATTGATGAGAATAATCACCATCATTATTTGTTGATAACAAGTGCTTAAATATTACGCAGTAAAGATTAATATTAAAGCATAATGAACAGTGTAGTCATGACAAGTGAATTCTCTTCTCTTTGTTGACCGAAATCAGAAATGAAATGCTTACTTTTTAGCTAATGCGGATCTTATAAATCAACTTGCAATAGGGACTTTTAGATTAATTTGCACGTCGACAAAGTGGACTGCTACGTGTGACGTCATTTTAAGGCAATGTGACGTCTTTTTAAGGCACTGCCAGTGCCTTAAAAGGACGTAACACTTAGCAGTCCCCTATGTTGATGTGCAAATCTAAAAGTCCCCTCTGTCAGTAGACGGTGGTTGAAAAAAAAATGAAAATAGGTAATTGCAGTTCTGTATATTATCCACAATTGCAAACACATGATAAGACTGACGGTAAGGTTATGTGTATGTGTCGCGTGTGCGTGTGTGTGTGTGTGTGTGCGTGTGCGTGTATGTGTGTGTGCGGGGGGTGTTTGTGTAAGAGAGGGTTCCAATCAGCTAGCTTCCTTCACTCCCATAATTACAATACTGTACACATTTCTGTAACAAAAATATATCAGTTGAAATATTTCAATTGTAGAGTCATAACTTTTGCTAATTTATTGAGTGTAATTCTGCTCCATAATTTTTTTTATTGTTTTAAACAAACATTGACTGTCGAACGAGTCGCATTTTTAACATATATTTTTAAGTTAATAAAGCAAAACAGCAAACAAAACAAACAAAATGAACGGATGTGACATCAACCAATTATAATCAGTTAGAGCTTAAGCGCATTTTAGAGCGTTATTTAACCAACATTACAATGTACATAAGAGGCCTTGGAATACACATGATTTGATTTGTATAAAATATCAAAAATCATCTAACATACTACTTAAATTGAAATAATAATTACGTATAAAAAAAATCTCCATTGTGTGAAAAATACAATCATTTGCCATTACTTGAATCTATTACAAATGTTTTATAGATGTAAAATTTACCCTATTTTTATTTTTCAATTTGCAATTTATGAAACAATATTAATGAATATAAGAATATTCAAAGACTCTTCGATGAAACAAAATCAAGAGAGTAAAGTATATAGGTTGATTAAATATATAATGAATTATGATATAATTAAGTTTTACATCAAGCATAGGTAATTTCAACGACGTCGAAAACAAAACAAAACGAACGGATGTAACATCAACCAATTATAATCAGTAAGAGCTTAAGCGCATTTTAGAGCGTTATATAATCAACATTACAATGTACATAAGAGTCCTTGGAATACACATGATTTGATTTGTATACAATATCAAGAATCATCTAACATGCTACTTAAATTTACATACACATTATGTATAAAAACAAATCTCCATTGTGTGAAAAATACAATCATTTGTCATTATTTGAATCTATTACAAATGTTTAAAAAATGTAAATTTTACCCTATTTTTATTTTTACATGGTAAAGTTGTTCAGCCATTAGCCACATGCTTAGTGTAATAATAATATTAATAACAATATGTCTTTTTTTTTACCCAGGGTAGCCTCATCAGTATTCATACTGTTCTCCCTGAGGGCTCTGCAATCATATTATTACCCGGTCATCGGATTCAGGCTTACCACTCCCTGGGGAGCATTCCAGCTAGGCGTCATTTTTACAAGCGCACACTTGCTAATCTAAGCACATTAGCTTTCGCATCCTACCGGGTACCCATTTAACACCAGGGTGAAGAGTGGCAAATGTAGCTCAATGTCTTGCCAAAGCGCATTAGTGCCGGGGTGGGACTTGAACCGCGGACCTTGTGATCCAAAGTCTGGTGACATATCCACTTGTCCACGACACCTCTTAATACATTAAAACATAAGACAATGTAATATAACAACTTAGGTTTGTTTCAGATGTATCTACATGCACTGTTACAAGAGGAATTTTGGGCCCCCGTCAAAAGAGATACTTCGTAAATCTACGCATCTGTTTTCGGTTTGTTGTTAGTCTCATTGGTGCGACTGGGCTAAGACACCCTCCTGGACCCTGTTTCATAAAACATGTTATCAATAACCAGTTACAATCCCTGTTATAAGCTACTGAAATCGTAGCATCTGATTGGCTGAGAGCAAATTAGTCTTAGAAACTTAGCTTTTATTATTGCCAACAGGTTTTATGAAAAAGGGCCCTGTTATTCAGCAGACACTGAACTACTCTATACACTGTGCAGCAATATTAAATATAATTTGTAGATTAGGTGAACAATATGGAGGAAAGTGAAAGACTTAAAATTGCAGCAAAGTAGACTAATCTGTCACAAAGTATGATATCTGGGTAAAGTGTTAAATCTCACACCCTAATCAAACGATACAAATATATATTCCTTAAATATATTTGCAGATACTTGAAGATTTCTGGAATATATACTTCACCATATATCAATATATCCTGTAGACTCAAAGGTAATATGCTAGCAGTAAGAGTATGTCTGTCACACAATAAAGTCTGCTGATACAAATGTTTTAGTCACTAAAATGAATCAGGTAATTACAGATTTAGAGATCAACAGAGAAATATATAGTACTTCTTTCAAACCCAATCAGAGCAATGCAGCAAGTGCTATCCATAACATCGAGACTTGTGTACAAGATGTTCATATTTGGTTTAACTCACATTCACTCAAATTAAATCTTGCCAAATGCGAATGTATAATGTATGGTTCTAAGACTCAGTTAGAGAAGATTTCCATCACTTCAATTACTCTTGCTGGACATGAAATTACCCTATCCAATGTATGTCGCAACCTTGGTTTTTTTCTCGACTCAAATATTACAATGTCTACACAAATTCAATATGTCTCAAAATCAGTACGTTATCAGTTACGCAATTTGGGTTTTATTCGTAAATATCTTAATCGTAGTGCAACTGAAAAAAATTACTCATGCTTTAATTTCATCTCGCTTAGAGTTTGGTAATGGCCTTTTGTTTGGTTCGCCTCACAACCTACTCGCAAAATTACAAAAATTACAGAATGCTGCTGCTCGTGTCGTGACCCTGTCCAACAAGTACAGTCACATCACACCAGTCCTCAAATCACTTCATTGGTTGCCCTTAGAAGAATGTGTTGTTTTGCTATTATTTCACTGTATACATGGCTCTGCTCCGCAGTACAACATCGGCTTGATCAAGCATTAATTTCCCTTTAAACAGCTACGTTCTCAAAACTCTGGATTACTTGTTACTCCTAGGGTTAAAACCAGGTGGGGGGGGGGGGGGGAGCGAACCTTTGCTCATGCCGGGCCTTCATTATGGAATACTCTCCCTCAATAAATTAAGAATAGCAGTTCTGCTTAAGTGTTAAAAAACAATCTTAAGAAATATCTGTTTAATCTAGCTTATAATTGATTACCATAACCTAAAGTGCAATAATATGCTTCACATTACTGTAGCTTACTCAGTGAATACGCACAGGACCATTGTTGCACGCAGTTGTCATTCAGTATTACAAGCAAAAACCATGGGAGGTTTTTGCGGCGGTTTACAGTGTCGTATCTGAACGAGCCTTAAGGGCAGCTCAGCCCACTGAACTGCTGCATCATCGATTCCGCTGACGGACGTTCGGATGGCTCTTTCTGAAAGCATGGCTTCAGAATTTTCTTTATGTTTGGAGCGAGGTCCTTCACACTAGCTGGCATGACATCAGCACCCGCGAACGTATTGCATAGTACAGCTGCTGGATTGGGGACCGTAGGCCAGACGCATTGTCCTGAGAAGACCTCAAGTAATGTACAGGCTAAGGACCAGACATCGCATGCCGATGATGCAGGCATGTTACCATCCTTTCGTGTAAAACATTCAGGAGGCATGTACCTGATTGTACCTCTGGCAGGCAAGAGGGAGGGACATGACATGATTGACCTCGTCTTGATGTGTGCCAGACCAAGGTCACACAAATATGGCTTCTTCGTCTTTGATTCAACCTGAGCGTAACAGGATGGGGAACAAACAGAACAAATGAGTGAAGCTTGTCAAAAGAATGCTTTTCATGATGTTGGTTATAACAATTTGTGTGCGTGCAAAATGCCACCTTTTAAATGTTTGTTATTCACATTCTCCATGGAAATTGGAACATTGGTAGCATCAATGACAAGTGACAAAAAAGTGGGAAATAAGGGACAATATTGCCCACATGGCTCTCAGCAATTTAACCTCTTGCCTAGACGGGATAAAATGTTAGGACAGAGAAAGAGAGAAAAGACGGAAAGAGAGAAAAGACGGAGAGAGATAAAAAGATGGAGACTAAAATTAAGAGAGAAAAAAATTAAGGCAAGGGTAAAGGGAAGTGAGGAAGAGAATGAGACAGAGAGGTAGAGAGGTGAGGGAGATATAAAGAAAGAATACTTACGATAACATTATGTGGTTTGATGTCGAGATGGAGTATCTTAGACTGGTGGAGAAAGGTGACTGCTGACAGAAGATCCTTAGATAACTCTACCTTCTCCAGGTAATCAAAAGGATTATCATCCTGCAAATTTTAGTTATAAAAGGGTCATAGAGTGATTAAAAATGGTAGAATGATATAAATGTTCATAAGCATAACATCCCCGAGAAAACCAATGCCCGACAAGTACCAATGTGGCAATAGTACCTCTGAATAACCCTCTACACAATTACCTCTTAATAAAACTACCTGCAAGGAAAATTAACCACATTACCCTCATACATCATTGTCATCATCATCATCATCATCCTGTGGGTCCCATCTATGGGGGGGGGGGGGGGGGTCAGGTATCCTTGATACCACTCTCCATCTCCATCTTGTACTGTCTGTAACCATGTCCTAGTCAATTCATTTATCGTGTTCCTAAATACAATCTATCCATCTCTTCCAGGGTCTTCCTTTCTTTCTCCTTTCTCTCTGCTGCCCATCTAATCAGTTCATCTCTTCTCTTCACGTATCCAGTCTGCTCTCTCTAACCCTCTCCCTTAGACAAGTATAAGGGTAATTAACAGATGCTCGTCCCGGACAATTGCCCTAGTAGGCTCATTGTCCAAGGGTGTGGTGGGTAGCTGTTTGAGGTTTATTGTCTTTGGAGTGAGTTCTTCTAGAGTTGTTTCATAATATTTCCGTTATAAAAAATTGGTATATCAATGACTGAAAGAAATCATGATATTGCTTAAAAAATCTGCCTCCTTAAAGTTTGTTTGACAATACAGAATTAATAGTGTCATGCAGTGTCATTCATCCTCATGCTCATTATTTAATGTGGTCTATTTTTTTGTCTTCATACCAGGAAGATGACCGTATTGAGATTACTCCCCTCGATGAGCTGCATGACGATCAAAGCCTGTGCAGGTGAACGTTGGTGACAAACCGCCATAATCCGAACAATGTTTCGATGACGGGCACACCTGCATAGACCAAAACAAAATCCACCAAAGTGAGAGGAAAAATCCTCCTTTGAAATTTTCTAACTCTATTAGACTTTAAATTAACACTATCACCATTTTTAAGAGAAAATTAATACTGGGACAGCTAAAGAATAATTCCATGTTCGATTCCATTTGCCATGAAAAAACATGTGCATAATATTTTATTTGCTTGTAACATGAAGAATATGCCTCACTTTCAGGTGAAAAGCTAAAAAACGTTAACATTTAGGTAAATGAAATGTTAGTCTAATCTTTGTACATATTATTTAAACTTAACTGATATGATCTATTATTCCCACCCAATCAACAGGTGTAAACCAAAAACTAAATGACATGCTCTATTTGACAAGAATCATGGTAACTTCAATCTATCTTTTCTCTTTGGTCGAGGTCTGAAGGAAAATGAATGAAATTCTCCCTCTTCCCAGCTGTGTGATCAAGTGAATTAATGTTACATGATTGGGAAATGATATCACATGAAGTTGGTAAAGAAGATGAAATATCGTACTTATGGATTGCAATCTCCTTCTCTACTTCAGAATCTTGACTACCGTCTGTGGTAAGGACCTTGACTGCAACAGGTTTACCTTCCCATTGGCCCTTCCAAACCTCACCAAAGCCACCTTTCCCGATCATTTCTTCACGTATCACCTTTTTAGGATCCATTATGACGTGGAATCCACAAAAAGATTCATCTAAAATACAACCAAAACATACATTGAAGTTAACATCGCATGCACATACTTATATATAATTGTGGGTTTTAGTATATACCAAACATGACTAAGTGCTTTTAAGCTCAACTTCACTAGAAAATTGTGTGGCAATATTTCGCACTTTAAACATTTTCTTGAATGAAAGTGTTAGACAATATTAATTCGCAGTTGGCAGAAATGCAATTTGATTTAACAGTAACTGTTTAGAATTGACAAACATTTCTCTTGAATTAATATACAAGAAGATAGTGGAAATATACATGAAGATAGGGGAAATATACATAAGGATATGGGAAATGTAGTCATTGGAGTAATCTTCACTAAGAGCTTCCTCTATGACTGATCATACCCGCTATGAGCAATGTTCCACATATGTCCATTTTTTATTAATAGTTAGTCACTCCACTAATACAGGGACAATAAGCTGGACAAGACATGACCAGACTATATAAGGGTAAGTTACTCCATAATGACACAGGCAAGGTGTCTAATCTGCAATGAGATAGACTTTGAAAAATGTACATGCTATACATGTATATGAGTAGGTCACTCCATTATAACAGGGATATGTCCATGATCTCCATGACTTTACACACATGTACATACTACATAAGAGCAAGTCATTTAACTGTGAAAGGAATAAGGTAAACAAACTCTGTCATTAGAGACTTTACATACAGTGTGTACATACAAATCCATGCTTTGTATTTGAATAAGTCCCTCCATTAATATGGCCTGGATAAGGTTCATTATCGTTAGTATTTCCATTCTGCATCACTGTAGGTCGTTCAATTATGTTGAAGTCGCAAACAACCTCCGTTACTAGAGAATTACTACATTTTCATTCTGTATAATGGGTACCTGGCAGGAATCATGCTAGAGCGCTGTAATGGCAGCTAGGCTAAAGCCGGGGTAATAATTAATGCGCCTCGGAATAGAATTTCTAGATAGACGGCGCTATAGAAATGCCTATACTTGTTATGAATTATTATAAGAGAAAGTCACTTCATTATGACAGGGGGTAATGTGCAGAGGGCAAGCATTCCCACCACTGCTACATAAATTAATAACAACTAAATGCCTTTTTTTTTTTTATAAATGTAATGCTTCCTGGGAGAAATTTCAATTATTTAAACTTGCCCGGCAAGCAGTAGATGCAGGTTCAAGTTCCGCTGGTTCCAAGATTTTTTTCTGACCTGTTTTTCAATACAAATCGATCAATAGATCTTATTTACTGGGTGTAAGCCACAAATATGTTTAAATAACTAAATGACTGATGGCATGAAGTTGGGATCACTGGTGGCTTTCAAATGATATGGCAAGGTAAAGATGATATAACTTATATGGAAATAGGTTCGTGACAATCTACTTGACATTCACGAGGAACCTATTTATTGATCACCAAGGGTCTTTACAAACACGTTCGTTCTGTGAGAATTGAACGCGTTTGCACGATCCTTTAATTATTACATAATGAGACAGTATGTGAAGGGCATGCAATCACTGCTATAATTGTGTAACAAGGTGCATCCTGTTGACTTTTGTTCTGTTTGTTGTTACTTAATTTCCTCTTTCATTAATCAACATTGAGATTCCTTTTAAATTGACGCCAGGCTAAATTTGTATGGGATAAAGCAGCGAAGTATAATAAAGACCACATTTTTTCATTCAATGAACCTGAAAGTGGGCCTCTTGGTGATTCCGAAGGATCATTGCGATCATGTTGGTCTGCATTACTCCCGCCACTAGAAGTAGATGGCTGCTTCTCTTGACCACCATCAGTAGCTTCTAACTTGAAAAAGTTGATGTACTCACGCTTCTCTCTAAAATTAAACAACATACATCAATTTTGTTAGCTCATCTCAGTTGAAAGGCCATGGTGATTTATGGTAATGGTGGAAAAGCAATTTTCACAAAATCATACAGACCTCATACGAAACTGATTTTTTATAGACGGGAAATTAATAATGAAATTTGTTAGATTTGGGTGATTTAAAAGCGCTTTTTCCCACATTGTTTATATTTTGCAGGTTGATCAAAATATAACATTACGGGCAATATGCCCAGAAAGCAAAATCAACTTCAAATTTCAATTAGGATTTTAAAAAATGTACACTTTCATAATACACATCCCTGACCATTGTCATCTTACTTGTAATCACTTTTCCAAAAATATGGTAGAAGTCACAAATTTTAATAGGAAACGAGAGAAGGAATATCCCAACAAAACATATTGAGAGAAGACAGGGAGGTTGGGCCAGCTTTTTTGTATACAAATGTACTTATAAAGACAGCCTGAAAGTCATAGAAGATTTTTTTCTGAAGATGAAATAAATCATCTAATTGGGAGTGTTGTCTTCCATGATATTCCAAAATATTTTCCAATTTCTCCTATTAGTCTTCTATGGCTTTTTTTCTTTACCTTTTGTCTGACCATGGACCTGTCTTAGTAGGTCTATATGGTCTCACAAACTTTGCTGTAAATTTGTCTCAAAACGTCTCAAAAAGTAAACGACTTTGATAATTCTGATTATGTAAATCAGAAAAATTGCATGTAAGTTATTCTCCTATTTATGGTGTGAAATACTTAAAGCTGGTTTGAGTGAAAAAAACAATTCCTTCCTTACCTTTCTACCTTGATAGCGATGTACTCCAGAACATTTTGAATGTCAACCTCTTTCAGATCCTTGAGTGGTGTGTGTTTCTTGAGATTAGTCTGACTGATGTCTGCACCCTCTTGTACAAGATAACACATTAGAGCAGTAAGAGGCTTGGTGATTCCATGTTCACGATACTTCTTTCGGAACTGGAAGACATCATAAATAAAAGAGATTACAGTTTTAGACCAGATCAACAATTTCAGGATTCTTTAACATTGTTTAACATTCTTTGACAAATTAGTACCGTAATATTTAACAAAATGAATACGTTATATTTCTTTGTTGTAAATTTGCAGAATAATTACCTAACCTCTACCCAATACGAGATTTCCAAGAACATGATCACAACATGATCAAACTAGATGGATTTTCGACTGCAAGCAGTAAAAAATGGTGCCTCCTACATAGAGGGTTTTAAAAATAAAAATAGAGCCAACTTTTAAAATTCAAGTTTGATTGTAATCCATTTCCAGGTTATCAGAACATCGTGATTACAAGCTTTTTTCATATAAATATATGACTCTTTGATCTTTGACCTCTTACCCTAAAATTTAATCAGTTTATTGGCTCTGCAAGATACATCCATGTCCTGAGTGTGATAGTAATCCATCCGTCAGTTCTAATGAGAATGCGTTCACAAGCTATTTTTGCATACATAGTGAGCCCCATGAACTTTGACCTCATGACCTCTAAATCTACTCAGTTCATTGGCTCTGCAGGCTATATACATGACTTGACTTTGATGGTAACCGGTTCTAATGATAATGCGATCACAAGCTATTTTGCATACATAATGTGCCCTTTGACCTTGGCCTCGTGACACCCAAATCTAATCAGTTCAATTTTTTTGGCAGGAATTCATCAATCTTATCATCATCATCATCATCGTCATCATCCAGGGGCGTAAATACGTACCGAGGAGTGGGGGGGGGGGGTGATCGGCGATAGCCATCAAATAGCACGAGCACACGCCCACACTAATTTACGCAATCGCGCGCGATCGCGCACGCACAAACACACAACACACACACACACACACGCACACACAAACAACAAACACACGTATACCCAAACACATGTACATACATTTACACCTGCATACATACATGCATGCACATGCCAAATTTGACAACCATAAAGTAAAAGAATTGGACATATTTCGAAATACTGACAGCTGCAAACTGTAGTGTTATATTATAATGAACTCCGAAATAAGACGACACACTTTCAAGTAGTAACATAAAGATTAGGTATTTTGTCAGGAAGATGGGAACTCTTTATTTTGAGTCCCATCACTTAAAAAATTATGTATAATGGTCAGGGGCGTCGCTAGACCTTTTTTTAGAGGGGGGGGGGGGGGGGGGGGGGGTGTAGAGGCCAACGATTACCGACAAAACCAGCCCCCAATTACCGACAAAATTAAATGTCCCAACATTTACAATTTTACCCTATATACCCGGGGCCGAAGGCTAAATTGTTTTTCCTACGGACTATCTATAGTACTTGCGTATGCGCAAACGGTCATTTTCCTCGACGACATAAATATACGAATTATTTTGTCAACTTAGTCAGCATCATAGCTATTTATTTTAATGCAGGCGCGGAGCTAGGATCTCATTTTAGGGAGGGGCGGTAGTAAGCAGGCGAATCACTCAAAGAGCGCGCGAAGCGCGGAAGTTTTGACGTTTGATTTAATTATTATAGAAAGAAGACGATTCGTTGCACCGTTTTCGACTCTTATTAAGCCCTATTTATCTGAATTGAATTCAATTCATTCAATATAAACAACAAACGGCCATGGTAAGTCTTGAACACGCCAGGTCTGGAACTTCAGTCTTCATCTACCCCCCCCCCCACACTCCGGGGTCGGAGGGACCGCATGCGCGTTCCTAAAATCTCCGGGAAAGGGGTACTTTTTCACGCGACAAAATCCGGCCCGAGAATTTCCTCTCTCTCTTTGGACTCCTGAGAAATGTAAAAAGGGGGTTATAAAATATCTTGAATATCATAGAAAAATTGATCAAATCCCGGGATCAAATTCCTGAAATTCCTGCTAGCTTTGAAAGCTCATTCAGGATTATTTCACTTTGAAAAGTAAAAACATTGGCCCCTAGTCCCTCTCGATCGACTAGAGCTCACCTGAAATTGGGGGAGGGGGGGGGGGGTACATTTAGCAGGGAAAGCCAGCAAAAAGCCGGCGAAAGGGAGATTCAGAAATGTTGGCATTCCTGAGATAGGGGGATGTGCTTTCAAAGGGAGGGAACGAGCATACGCGTACCCTAAATAACACTGAGTGGGGGGGGGGGGGGGGGGAGCCGGGCATCTACTGTACATGATTGCACTTTTTAAGCGCTCGCGCGCTGGCGCACTTTACGTCTGGGCTATAATGAATCCTTGCAAAATAACGAAAAATTATTCTGAAATTTATGAAGTGCTTGTTCGTGATGATGATCGTGACATACTGTATACGTGTAGGCTATACAGTTATACATACATAACACAAAATAACTCATTTCTCATGCATTATGCTGAAATTGAAACAATCACATTTGTTTCTTCTTCTTCTTCTTCTTCCTTTTTTTCCTCTCTTTTTGTTGTAATATCAGGGGGGATGTTTGTACAGGCCATCCCCCTACTTCAAACCAGGGGGAATGCAGCCCCCCCCCATCCCCCCCCCGGGATTTACGCCCCTGTCATCATCACCGTTTAAAGTCCATTTGTCCCACTTTGTGGGGTTGGACATTTCATTTTCTTAATGGCTGCTTTCCAAGCTTTCCTGTCTGTGGGATCCATATGACTGATACCCGATGTTTTGGCATCTTCTTCTATAATTTCCCTCCAAGTTTTCCTGGGTCTCCCGCGGGGTCTTCTTCCAGTGTCAAAGTTTAGAGCCCTCTAGAGCCAGTGTGTAGCCTCTCTTCTTGCCACATGTCCAAACCATCTAAGTCTATTCATCCTCATAACCTGTGCCACCCCCATCAATCCCATTGAATGGAGGAGGACTTTGTTCTTCTTTCTCTTGTGAAGTGATACCCTGCACATCCACCTCACCGTCCTCATCTCAGCCTTTTCCATTCGCTGTACACTAGATGATTTCATTGCCCATGCTTCGCTTCCGTACGTCATGCATTTTCTAACACAGGCATCATACACCTTCTCTTTCACTCTTAACGGTGTCGCCCTTGAGGTGAGGAAATGAGAGAGTTCACGAAACTTTTTCCAAGCGCTTTGGATTTTTGCAGTCACAGCTGCAGTCTCTCCTCCCCTGACAGCCAACATGTCTTCCAGGTAGCAGAACTTATCCACCTTATCATACGTCGTTCCATGGAGATCCAGACCTGTCACATTGTCCTTGGTACACTTCTGTGAGATTGTACCTAAGCATCTCTTACAGATGAATGTCTTACTTGCTGCTTGCAGGCTACCACATATTCCACTTAATCTGCGATGGATCCAGCTCCTGCATTTGGTGCATCTGATTGAGTTTGCTCCAACACCTGTATAGCAAACTCCGCAGGGGTACTCTCCTGTTTTCTCTGTCTCACCTACATCAGCAGAAGACACCAGGACCTTGGACTTTCCAGCATTCAATTTCAGACCCTTTCATTCTGGGACTGCTTGCCATCAAGAAATTCTAGCTATCAGTTCTTGTTCACTCTTAGCCATCAGCACCAAATCATCTGCGTAGAGCAGTTCCAATGAAAAGCCTTCCCGGATGTCCTTTGCGATGACATTCATTACGATGATGAAGAGGAGAGGACTGAGCACTGAGCTTTGGTGATCTCCTACTTTGACATCAACGCTTTTGCCCGTCACCACACGACGTTTGGATGTGTGTCCATGCTTCCGCAAATAGTGCATCGGTTCTTGAGATAACGCAATCAAGAGATCGGGACGTACGGACGGACAACCCGAAAACATAATGCCTCCAGCTATTCGTAACGGAGGCATAAAAACAATGTTTAAAGGTTAACGCAATTGTAATAGCCAAGTCTGTCACAGGTTTAAATATGCAAACACAATAACATATTTCATAATCCGAACACGATTTCTAAAGTCAATGCCATAGGCCATTTAAATGGACCTTTAACCCTTACTGTACTGGGGGGGGGGCCTGGGAGGCCCCCCCCTCGACATTTTCGGAGATCGCACCGCAACCGCTTGGAATTTTGAATTGTCGTTTCATGACTTTTTTCCCTCAAGTCTTACGCACATTTTGATACCATTTTCGTCGAAATCGGATATACCTGTAAGGTGTTACATAACAATTAGTATGCGCATGTCATCAAAAAAAAAAAAAAAAATGAAAATCGCATCAAAATTTGCATAAATTATCATTGTTAATTACATTAAAATAACTTTTTTGTGTTAGAAAAGAAGTTTCATATGAATAATGAGTTTTAACATTCAAAAAGTGGAGTTTGACACGTTTTCGGTAAAATGCATAAAATTAGTGCATTTTGCATAATTAATTAGGCTAACGACAAAAACTTGCATATTCGGAAAAAACTAATTATACCATCTTGTTCCTTACGTAAATATCTACAAACATGCAAATTTTCGTGTTCATCGGACAATCGACGGCCGAGATCATAGGGGGGGGCCTCCCAGGCCCCCCCCCAGTCAGTGGGTGCTCAAAATAGCCCAGTACAGTAAGGGTTAAATGATTTATATGCAAATCCATGCGATTATATTCAAAATGATTTTGACGGAATGGAAAAGTTCAAGAGGTTGAGAACATTTACCGTTCTCAGATTATCAGTATCAGAAATATCCTGCCCCTGTCTGTATTTCATCACTGCGATGTGAAGGCAACTGTCCCCGTCACCATCTGACGAGTTGATATCAGCATCGTGCTTGATCAGGTCTTCGATGATGGCAGTACGACCGTTGGCGACTGCAAGCAACAAGGGCGTTTGATGCTGCTCGTTGTAAAGATCAATAGCACAATGCCCCTAAGAACAGAGAGATAGAGAGTGAGAGAGAGATAGAGAGAGAGAGATCAATGATGGGAGAAGATGAATACATAAAGTTAACATACATGTCTAACCAGGTGACTGATATATAAAGACTAGCAAACCCCATCCTGTTTCCATATAAAATGGTTGATCACATGACTAACCTTATGCAAATATATTTAACACGTGACCCCACAACATTACTCTGTCCCTTTGTTTCTAATATTCTAAACACCTTGAACTTGTGAACCCTCTTCCCAGAAGGAAAAACCATTTACCACCAGTTGAAATTTCCAACTGGTTCCAGTTAACTTCAACTGCAACCAGTTAGATTTAACTGGAACCAGTTAAATTCAACTGGTTCTAGTTAAATTCAACTGGTTCCAGTTGATTCTAACTGGTCCATGATGCACAAGCGGATATTTGGTGCGACTGCATTTCATTTAACTGGAACCAGTCCTTATACAGTGACCAGTTACACCAGTTGATAACAGGTCTGTTTGCATACTTCCTGTTGCACCAGTTGATAACTGGTCTGTGCATGGCATATTTCCAGTTGCACCAGTTGATAACTGGTCTGTGCATGGCATACTTCCAGTTGCGCCAGTTGATAACTGGTCTGTGTGCATATTTCCAGCTGCACCAGTTAATAACGGGTCTGTGGGCATATTTCCAGTTGCACCAGTTGATAACTAGTCTGTTAATTCCAATTGGACCAGTTAGAATCTGACCAGTTGAATTCCAACTGGACCAGTTAGAATTCAACTGGTCAAATTCTAACTGGTCCACGGTGTGCATATTTACAGTTGACACCAGCTAATTTGCATAATGGATATGGGGTGCGTGCACATCCATGTTTCAATACAATTTATCTGAATTTACAGCAGATTTCTTAATTACTGATGATTTAGTTAGGCGAGGCGTCAAAAATAAATATACCAGCCAGCGGCAGCTAACTGCACTTGTGCGTCCTGGCTGCATTTTTTAAATTAGCTCAGCCGGCTACCGCTGGCGGTAGGAAATGGCATTCAAAAGCATGCGCCGGCTGCCGCCTTTCGAATAGAAACCGAGCCTCAGATCCCAGCCTGGCGCAAGCCGGCTGGGCTAATAAGTGAAAAATAATTGCCCCAGCCAGGCTTCGGCCGTAATTGCAGCCTCGATGCGCCAATACGTGAGGCGGCAGCCTGCTGGTATCGATATTTTTGACGCCTCGCCTTATGTGCAATTCATTTCGAAAATACTACAAATACAAGTATATTCAAAATAGTTAGTTAACAAGTCTACCCATAGGAAAGTGAAAAGTATGCCGCAGACATGCCGCAGACCTGCCGCAGACTTTTAGTCTGCGGCAAAGAGTATGCCCGAAGTATGCGGCAGAAATAAATTTTGCTGCAGACTTGCCGCATACCAGTATGCCACAGGAACAGTCTGCGGCAGGAAATAACAATTTAATTGCAATTTTAAGTCGATATATAATCCAAATGAAAGAAAGTGGAGACCTTAGAAAAGCTGGGCTTGTAAGAGCAAGGTCCCCATATAAAATAATCCATCAATGTTTCACTTTTAAAAAATGTTTCAAAGTTATCAAAACTACACATGATTAAATATGGGGGAAATATTTACAAAAGGGACAGCTTGAAATTTGAAAAGGAGAGGATGAAAATATATACAAAGGAATCGAGCGGAAAAAAAGCAAACTGGAACGAGAAAAACAACAAAACAGAGAAAAACAGAGAAAGAAGAAAGTTATATGTATATAGGGGAAAATGGTATTTGGTGTAAAGAAAAAGAAAAATAGAAGAGAGGAGGGGGGGGGGGGAGAGAATGTGAAATGCTGACATTTATATTGAATAATCAAACATAACAAAAACAAAAAGATAATGCACGTTATTAATAACAATTGACAAATTATTACCTAATATCATTTCTGGTGATATAATTTTTACGTTAATTGTCGACATAGTTACTCTATCATTATGTAATTTCAATTTGCGTTTAAAAACAAAGACACTGACAGATCTAGTTACATTGATAGGAAGTGAGTTCCAAAATTTGGGACCAGTACAAGCCAGCGTCTTCAGAGCAAAAGCAGTGCTTACACGTGGAATATGAAGCGCAGTTGCCTGCCTTGTATTATAGCTATGAATGTGATTGTTCTTTCGAAATATTTGTACTAACGCATTTGGGAGAGTACCATTTTCAAAACCATACATAATTGCGCCTAACTGTATGAAGTAAATGTCTTCAACCTTCAAAAGCTTATTACTGTAGAACAAAACATTAGTATGAGCACGATAGCTCGCATTAAAAACAACTCTAACCACCCTCTTTTGGGCAACACAAATCTTATCTAATTGTGTTTTCAATGACTTCCCCCATGTCAGCACTCCATAATTGAGATAAGGCAAAATTAAAGTAGAATACAAAATAAGCAAAATTTCTTGTGGGACAAAAGAACTTAATTTATAAATTACACCAGTATTTCTAGACACGACTTTACAAATATTAGTACAATGAGATGCCCAAGACAGCTTCTCATCAATATGTAGCCCAAGAAACTTGGTGGAAGTTACTCTCACAACGTTAACAGCATCAAAAAATACATTTCCAGGTACATCCTTTAGGGAGTTACTAAAAAAACATATAGTTTGTCTTTTGAAGATTCAAGGACAACTTATTTGCATGAATCCACAAAATAACTTTCTTTAATTCAATATTAACTGTATCTAATAAAACTTCAGGGTTTTTATGAGAAAAAAATACACTTGAATCATCTGCAAAAAATATGAAAGATAGTACATCAGATGAAAGATAAAAATCATTAATATATAATATAAAAAGAAGGGGGCCAAGAAGGGACTCCTGAGGGACACCACAATATATAGTTTGATAACTTGAGTCAGTTCCATTTAATGATACATATTGTTTTCTGCCTGTTAAATAGCTCCTGAACCAGCTAAGAGCGATGCCCCTCACTCCATAATATGACAATTTACTTATTAAAATTTCATGATCAACCGTATCAAACGCCATAGAGAAATCCAAAAATAAACCAATTGTATGAAGGTGACCATCTAGTGCTTGAGCTATTTTATCAACAAAGTGTAAAATTGCAATTGTAGTGGTGTGCTTTTCACGAAAGCCAAACTAGAATTTTGAAAATATTTTAGTCTTTTTTAAAAATATCACTGTTCTATCATATATAAGCTTTTCTAAAAGCTTTGAAAAGGATGTCAATAATGAAATGGGTCTATAATTACTTAATGTTTGAGGATCACCCTTTTTAAATATTGGCACTACCTTAGCAATTTTCATTTGTCCTGGTACAATACCAGATAAGAAAGACAAATTATAAATATGAACAAGTGGTATCACAATTCCATGTATAATATCCCTAATTAATTCATTTTTTATGCCATCAAAGCCAGGACTCTTATTACTTTTAAGCGAGCTCACAAGCTTAAACAATTCTATTTCATTTGTGGGCATTAAAAACAGGCTATCTATATTGGGTTCTTGCATAAACTCAATAAAGCTTTTCTGACATCTAGGAATAGAGTCCTGAAGTTTCAGCCGGACATTACAAAAATAATCATTAAAATTGTCCACAATAATTTGTCTATCTTCTACGGAACAACCATTCACATTTATACATTTGATATATGTAGTTTTTACTGATGGTTTAAAAAAACTTCGAATTACTTTCCATGTATTCTTAATATTATTAAATGTCATTTGAAATTGAGCAGAGTAATATTTTTTCTTAGCATCACGCAATACAGAAGTAAGAGTATTTCTATAATTAGAATACTTCCTCCACAAAAAATCAGAGCTTCTCCTTTTATATTGATAATACACCTTATTTTTCTTAGTAATTGACCTTAATATTGATTTAGTTATCCATGGCATACGAGGAACTTTATTATAATTCTTCTTTTTATATTCAACCAGAGGAACATTCTCACCATACAACAACATGAATTTATTAAAGAAACTATCGAAAGCACTTTCAACATTTTGGTCTGAAAGAACATCATTCCAATCAGTTGCAATTAATGCCTCTCTCAATTTGGCAATATTTTCAGGAGTTCCTTTACGGACAGACGTGCGACCTCTAGGCTCACAATTCACCGAAGACAACATACAGTATACAGGAAAATGATCAGACATGTTAGATACTATAATTCCAGAGGGTGGATATGGCTGTACATTACAACAAATATTGTCAATTAAAGTACTGGAAACTTCTGTTATTCTTGTTGGCTTAGTGATTAGGGGCAATAATGAGAAAGACATGTTTAGAAAGCTCCCAAAGTCTTTCGCCAGTGCCCGCTGGAAGAGACGTTACAACCCGGATCTAGTTTTCTGCAGCAGGCTGCTTACTCCCACCAGTCGTAAGTTTGTAGCTGAGCCGATTCCAAGATCCCAACACCGACCCATCGGCATTCAACTGACTGCGGTTATCACACCAAACAAGACCCCGTTCAAGCGCAGGTTCAACTTTGCTAAGGCAGACTGGCCTGCTTTCGCCGAACACCTTGATCATGCCCTAACACATCTCCCTGCGGATCCAAAGAACTATGAATCCTTCATAGATATAGTCAAGAAGGTGTCACGTAGACATATCCCAAGAGGCTGCCGCACGACATACATTCCAGGCATCGATGAGGAATCAAGTCAGCTTCTGGCAAACTACACCACAGCCTACGACACAGATGCCTTCTCAGAGGACACCATCAACCTTGGAGAAGAGCTCATATCAAGGATATCTCAACGACATAGGCAGATGTGGCAGCACATGATTGAAACAACAGACCTAAGACACAGCAGCAGGAAAGCGTGGGCCACAATACGCAAGCTCGGAATTGACAGCACCAGAGCTCAACAGCATTATAATGTTACGGCAGACGAAGTAGCAAATCAGCTGTTGAAAAATGGAAAGGCCCCCAAGACGACTAATTCACACAGGCACAAACTACCTGGAGTTGACCAGAACA